GGGGCTCCGTGGGATCCGGGGGGCTCCATAGGGTCTGGGTGCTTCACGGGGGTGGGGGGGGTCCACGAGGCTAAGGGGCCTCTTGGTGCCTGGGGGCTCCGCAGGGATCTGGGGGGCTCCATGGAACCAGGGGGCTCCAAAGGGCCTGGGGGCTCCATAGGGTCTGGGGGCTGCATGGGGCTGAGGCCCTGTGCCCCTGGGGTCTGGGGGCTCCAAGGGGTCCCAAAGGGCTACCTGGCCCCAGTCCCACACCCAGGCATCACCGTCCTGCTCCTTGGCCCGGGCTAGTGGGGTCGGGCTSGCTCCATGCCAAGGGCCGTGGGTGTCCGAAGGGAGTGTGGGCTCCCGGGCAGGGGCTGCTTCCCCCTGCGCTGATGCTGCTGCAGCTGGGAGCTGCTGCAGCAGGACCTCCACCTRCAGCTGCTCCTTCACCGGGGAAACCTTCCTGTCGCGCATCACCGTGCAAAGCAGCCCCTACAATCGAGGGGCTGAGGCTGAAGCAGCGGGCGCTGCCGCTGGTGTGTGACCCCTGTGTGGCCCTGGGCAGAAAGGCGGCTACCCCGAGCGTCCCGAGCAGATGCTGGGAAACCCGCGCACAGCCAGGGCTCAGCTCCGGGGTGTCCGCCAGATGCTCCCAAGGATGCCAYGGAGCAGCCACTGCTCCGTGTGCACCCGGCTCGGCACCACTCCTGCCCTCCGGGACACCCTCCTCGTCCCTCCTGTTCCCCTGGGCTCCTCTCAGAGCAGGACGGATACCGGGACCTGCGTCCGAGGGCAGCTCCGCGTTCCTCCCTCCAGCTCCTTAGCTCCGCTGTAAACACGCACTGTTCCCGCTCTGACGGGTGAGGATGCGGGACTGGCAAGTGAGGCTCTTTAATAATTAACACAGTCTGTCCCACAACTTCTCCATATTTTATTTCTGGGTGGCTTGTGGCTGCAGACTCAAACACCCGAGATGCTCCCGCTGCCTTCCCCGCTCGCTACATCCCGGCGGCTCCGGCGCCTTCCGAGGCGCTCGGAGCCTCCTGCTCCGCGCTGCCGGCCGGCACCGCGAGCAGCCCCCAGCCCGGCGCTCGGCTGCCCTCGGGAAGCGCCTGCTCCTCGTGGTGGTTGTTAACCAAAGCAAAGCTCCCACAGGTGGGCCGGCCTCACGGCTCGCGTGCCGCCCTTCGCCCACTCCAGGAGCCGCGCGGAAAGCACCGCTCAGCGCTGCAGCGCAGGCCGGCCCCAGCTCTCCCRTTTCCTTTGCTCCAAGAAGGAGCTTAAATGCTCCGCTTTGTGCTGTAATTCCTTTGTGGGGAAGAAGAGGTTTGGAGCAGGAGAATTCCCCCTTCTGGAAAGATGCTCCCATGGCTCTTTTCCCTTTCACCTTCCCTGCTCCAAGTGCACTCAGCTCCCATGTCCTGCCTAGCATTTATTTGATTTTCTCTCTTGAACCTGTTTAGAGTTGCGCTCTGCAGGTGTTCCCAGCATAGAGCTGCTGTCAGAAGAAAACGGGGTCCCAGGATGAGCCTATGCCTCAGAATGCACCGGGGTGGCCTCAGCATTCGCTGCCTGCTCCCCTGGCTGCGGCTGGCGAGTCTTGCACACGCAGCATCCTGGAGTTCTGCATTCCCATGGGAATGCCATGCGGGAGAGCAGAGCGTTCCCGCCCAGCCGCCAGCCTGCCCCACGGCCCCTTAATACTGTTTGTATCGATAAGAGCCTGGAAAATCAATGTGGTGATAACATCCACTTGTTATTATGCACTAACTGGCAGTTCCTCCGCAAAGAAAAGTCTCCTTTAGAGGCTAATGAATTTTAAGGAAAATAGGTGCTTTGCGAAAGGCTTTGCTGCCGGGAGCGGAGCGGGGATGCACGCGCAGAGCGAGCCGGGATTCCTGGAGCTGCGCGAGGTCTGGTCCCTGGGGCCTCCAGCAGCCGCCCTCGGTAGCAAATTAAATCTTCCTTCGCACGTCAGGAAACCCTTGGGCTTTTGTTTCTGGTTTGCCTGGATTTTTTTTTTTTTTTCTTTGTTACTCTTTCATTTAGAGCCGATATGAGATTTCCTGGTCATTCCAGATTTCCAGCGGTGCCTGAATTCAGAGATTGTGCAGGGCGCAGAATAGAAATGAAAGAGCAGGTGTTACACACAGGAAAAATAAGTCCTGTCAAGAAAAAAAAAMACCCAAATCCTAGTGGATGTTCAGGACAGGCGCTTCTGTCTGTTGGGAGCAGTTTCCAAAAGGAGAGGCGCGCTTTGCTCGCCGTGCCGGGGCGCCTGCGCAGGGAGCTCCATTCCGCAGCACCCGGAGAGCTCCACAGGAGAGGCTGGAGAGGCCGCGGGGGCCTCCGTTTGGACACGCTGCGGGGACATGCAGGGGAAAGGGGAGCAGGTGAGTAAGGAGGAGGCAGGAGGTCACCAGGGAGCCGCAGCCACCGCTGGGCTGCAGCTACTGCCAGCACAGGGCGGTCTGGCCCAAGACGTGTATATGGATATACAGACAAGTGCACTTAAAGCTTAGGAGCTCATTTATRGACAATGGCAATAGGGAGATCATTCGGTGCAAGTCAAAGCTTTGCAAAACCAGAAGCASGTTGTATTTACACAGTTGACTTTGGTATGGTATGAAATGCATATATTAAATATATTTATTAAATGACCACATTCATTTACAACTGTAATATTTATTTATGCTTAATTTATGTTTCTAAGGAGTTGGATTAAGAACAAAGCTGATTGAGAAGAAAACAGGCAGAAAAATAAGATGGATGGGACACTGCACCCYGGTGACATGGGGTCCCCTGGAGATACCGGGTCCCCAGGTGCTTCCAAGGTGGGGTTCCGATGTSAGGGCCACTGGCCAGTGCCCTCGGTCCCTGCAGCACGTGGGCCCCTGTGGACGGGCTCCGGTCCCCCCGGCAGCGGGCACGGGAGCGGGAGAGCCGGGGAGCAGGAGCAGCGCCCCATTCCCGGCCGGAGCGCCCGGCACGGAGAGCAGGACAGCGCGAGGGCAGAGCAGCCCCGAGCAGAGCCCCTTGCCACGGTACCTGCCAGCRCTGCACCTTCGCACATCCCGCCCAGCCGAGAGCGGCGTTTCCAACAAGTAGCATTTTAAAGCAATTAAGGTAATTTAAGACAAATAAAGCAATTAAAAGCAATTAATAAAAATGTCTTTTAGCCTCTCCTTGGAGCCCACAAACCCATTGAACTCTGTATTTCCTTGGTGGGTTGTATTAACTCAGTTTAGCATATTACAGAATATAAAACCTGAGAAGTGCGACCAGCTGATTCTCAAAATAATCCATTGCTAATATTTAATGACAGCACRAGCTGCTTTAATAGTGAACACATCCCCCTAAGTTGGTTCCAGCAAAGCCGGAGGGATTCRTGCCCCTTGCAGCAGTTTCTACCCTTGGCACATGGTGCTCTTCACCAGGAGGGTGTTTGCCCATGGGGTGTCTGTATCCAGCACCTTTCCCGGGGGCTGGGGAGACTCTGAGCTTTCCCATCGGGATCGTGGGGAGCTCCRAGCTGGCGCAGAGCCCCCTCCTTGGTGCCGGCGGTGCCGGGTGCCCGTGTCCCGGCTCACCCGAGGCTCCGGGTGTCGCGCGGAGCGCGCGGGGCTGGCAGTGCCCGCCGTGCCCGCGGTGCCCGCGGTGCCGCAGCCTCCCGAGGCGCTTGGGCGGGCGCTCGGCTCCGCTCCCGGCGCCCTGCAAGGCGCCGCGGCAGCGCGAGGAGGAGGTTCCCATGGGAACAGAAAGTGCTGACATTTCCAAACTAAAAAAGGAAAGCGGCGGCGCAGGACGGCTGCGCCCGCAGGACGGCTGCGCCCGCAGGACGGCTGCGCCCGCAGGACGGCTGTGCCCGCAGGACGGCTGTGCCCGCAGGCCCTGCAGCCGCTCCGTGCAGGGCCCTGCAGCGCCCGCGGGCACCTCCCGCCCTGCGGGGTCCGTGCGGATGCTCCAGAGCCGGAGGCGGCGGCAGCGGCGGGTCGCTTCCCAAGCAGCAGCACCCGCAGCAGGAGCGGGTGCAGGTTACTCCTCCTGCACCGCAGCCAGTGGGTGGCAGGTGACATCTCGCTGCTGTCACCAGCTCCGCGCACCGGTCAGGGCATCAGCAGAGCATCAGGGGTGCCCRTGCCCATGGCCCCGGTGCCGCAGAACCCCTTTCCTAAAGCGGCTCCCGCCTTGCCGTCGCATTCCCTGTCCCGCTCCCCAAGCCACCAGCCCGTGGCTGCCGAACAGGGGCCAGCAAAGCTGCTCCCAGGATAATCCTCGGGACAGGCCGAGCGTCTCCTGGCCCCCAGCACAGCGGGACAGCCTCGGGCTGGGTTAATGGGCGCGTGCCGGTGACGGGTCCCGGCGGTCCCGGCGACGACGGCCCCAGCAGCACAGCTCCTGCGCGCTCCCCGCATCACTCTCCCTCGTTAACCCCGCGGGCTGCTCGGCTTGATTGGCTTAGGCTCTAACCCTCTTTCCTCTGCAGAAGGAGACTTGGAGCCGGCTCCTGCCTTTGCCCTCCTGGCTTGGRATGGTTTCCGTGCGGGAGTAGGGAAGCAAACCCCGAGCTCCTGGGATGCGTTCGCATTTGCTTCTCTGGGACCGGAGCTRCAGGAACCAGCAGCAGGGACAACCGCGATGCAAGAGCCTCTTGTTCGGGAAGCAGCTAAGAGCCCAGCTCT